AATCCGATAGAAATAGTGAACGGCGATCTAGTGTTTAAACACGTGTCCCTTGGACATGTGCAGATATTGTAAACTTCAAGGTATACGAATTCGTGTATAATGTTCATCCTGATAGGCATATACTAAGTAACACCAATGTGCCAACAACTATAGATTTGCACAGAAGATAACTTGGTATATTTCGAATGTCTTATGTGATTTATTATAGTGGCATTTTAATTTTCGCTGAAAAGAATTTTTGGGTGTTTTATATGAAATTTATTGTCACTAGTTGTTTACTAGATGTGTGTAAAATATAGGGAAAAAAGGTATATTTCAGCGAAAATAAATTCCAAGCGACAACAAGGTATTTTTACAGTAATAAGAATGAAACATATACGGTATATTTGATTGATACTACGTGAATCCAAATTGGATCATGATTTATCATAACTAAAATACCTTTCTTTTGTAGCGAACACTACAGTATACGTTCGATCTATCATTGTTATTGTACGTACCAAAAATTATCAGCACGCATGCGTATTAGACAACTACATTGTTTCATCGAACGAATACTTTGTTATGTGCTACACGAACAGCTTTTTCAGGCCGCGATAACTCATAGTTTAGTGTATTCATCGATATCCAGTATAAGATGAAAAAACACGCTTTCATCCACATTGTGTCTTTAATGCGAGTTTAAAGGGCGGTCGCGCCATGCATGCGCGGGATATGGGTCTCATACAAACAAAGATGGCGACTGTTGCGCAGATCAGTGAGTAAAAACTGAGACGTTACCAAGCTTATTTTTTAGGTGATTGGAAGGTATCGAAGGGAACACCGGCGGTAATTAGTGCAAGACACACCCAGGTAAAATCTCGTACTCGTGATTTCATTAGAAGACAAAAAACCGAGAAGAACGCATTAGATTGTGGGACAACCAATGTTTATCAACACAAATGCCGCACATGCGCACATGCGCGGCGCGACGACCACCGGCCTCCAACAAACGACCACGTGCACGTGTGTGCCAAACTAAGATCAAGCTCAACGTCCACAAATAGTGATTACTGAGCTAAGAGATGAAGTTAAAAACTCCACTCACGTTTTTTAAAGCATGAATTTCTGTTTTGATTGCACCTAGAATACATCAGATATGAATAAAACAAAACATGTGCTTTCACCCATTTAAAATGCGTGGTAAACTTGTACATTTCTCACTGTCCAAAAACGGACTTTTTCTGTGAGTGAAATGATACGATTATTTCAACAACTCGTATCCAAGTAAATTTGGGATATTTCTCGTGTTGTAGCCACGCCCACCTATCCTGAAACGGTCGACTGTTTCCGGATTTCCGACTCTCGCCGAAAGTGCGCCACCAAATGCCAAAATGTGAGAGGAAGTCATACCCCTGAGTCGTAATAACACTGGTCATTCAGTATACTTTTAAACGATATACATTTTTCAGTCGGCGTTTTTTGTTTGTTTTTTTTTTCGTTTTTTTTTTTTTTGAGAGAGAGTTTTTAGATGTTGTGTTGTGGGCAGTTGCAGTGAAACGTATAGTCATAGTGTAAGTATTCACACGTTTCTAATCGATCCGAAGGTGCGACATCAGTGGACGAAAGCCACTTAGCCTCAGATTCCTTTTTTGGAAAAACTGTCTTCGTCCATGACAAAAAAAAACAACTAGGTTTAAAGAGAAACGCCGACAACATAAACCTGGCGCAACACTTTTGAAAGAAATAGATTCCGGACCATGATCATCGAGGCGGATTTCAGAAGAGAGATAGACGTCCGGCAAGTGTTTCAAATGAGTTGACTTTTTTGCGATCCTGATTATCGTTTTATAGAAACCATTTAGTCCCTGTTAAGTAAAAGGTAGCAAAAGGTAGCATAACTTTGACAGTGACGAGAAAACGAAGCGTCGGAAAAACAGGAAATTACACAGCCCTTACACACTGCTAATTGTTTTCATTTTCGAAGGCTAAAAGTTTCTGAACTGTTTGGTGGTTGGTGTTGAATGTCGAATTCACACCTCTGTTCTTTTTTTACCTCCATGCTTGCAGCTTGATCTGCGTAATAATTTCTGAAATAAGAATCCGGGCTTGGTCAATGTGTTTCCACCAAATAAAGTTTTAATATGATGTTATAATTATGATAATCACGCCATGGATCATGCTAACTCGAATCCACTCTGAATTTATCTGTATGTGTGTCGATCTCGGTTATTTTTGTTATCCGCTTTTAACGCACTTGCCCTCGCCGTGACCCGACGCGTTCACCTATTTCAACAAAATTTCAATTTATTTCCACGCGGCTGTCATTTATTTAGTAACTGTGATTTGTCGTTTTTAAAATTATTTTATAGTGATCACTATAGTCTAATGTTTAGAATGTCAAAATATGTTCTCTTTTATTTTAATTTTGAAAGTTTTACTCAGACGATCGATGAAATAAAACAGTGTAGTGACGTGCCTAGTAACCTGCTAAATAACGAGATAATTCCGACGTCAAATTCTATTTTGTCCAGCGACAGTGTACAAACGTGCGCCGCTGACGATTACCGTGACCAGCTACACCAGAACGAACATATTTCGCATCTAACTCAACCCCATGCAACAAAAATTGATACTATGTGTTCATTATGGTCCATTCCTCCTCGACGAACCTAAGTGAAAATTTAGTCAAAGACGAGAAAACTGCAGAAGAAATTTGCCTTATTTACACGTACTGGCAATGCAAGCTGCCATGCGACTTCCCCTTCTGACGTCACAAGGGGAATTTCTGTATGCAAATAAGAAGCTAATGAGGAGCCTCGTTTTAAAATACACAACAATAAGTTGCCGTAGATTGAGTTTAAAACACATTTTTCACTTAAAAAATATTCATGCTTAGAAAACATGTATCATGTATCAATGGATAATTTTAGGCGTGAAAATAGAAGCCATTTCACAGGCACTTTAAAGCTCAGACTAGTAATACAACAGACTCGCAACGCCTATTGTTAAAGGTGTTAATCGGCTTAATTGTATATGCTACGTGTGCCACGCTCTGTAGCATTGGCATAGACACCGTCGAAGTTTACCGAACACTGGATATTCTGCACACTTCGCGCTTCTTCGGAAATTGCGTATTTCTTCGTGAAACGAATCCGGATATTTAAAAAAAAAACGGGAGATGCGTACTGGACATTTTGACCTTTGCAGCTGTGTAAGAATTTTAAAAATCGACCAAGAATCAGGGGAGTTACAAGTAACTGAATGTCTTAGTGTTTACCTCAAATAGTTTTTGAATATATAATGAGCAATTTGAAATGATATTTCTCGCTGTTGTGGATTTTGCGAAAGATTTCCAATATTTTTTCGAAGAGAGCATATCGCTGCGTTTTGAACGATTATACTTCTTTGTGTGTTACCCGTTTTGTTTTCGTGTTCCGGGATGCCGAAACATGAGATAGCTAGTGTCATGTACATGATATCTCTCAGTGTATCAGCGTGATCCGGTAACGGTAAAAACTGGAGGTGTGTTATTTTTGTCGCGTTCGACTTCATAGTACGCGATCTACGTGTGGTTCAGTGCCTGTTTCAATTTTCTATTGTGTGTCAGTATTGTTGCAATTTCGAGTTTCACTGATTTTGTTTGACTTCCGTCATATTTTTGTATAAAAATAGCCCAGTATATTTCTTTTTATTCTTAATTTCAGGAAATGAAAAACACGAGATCGCCCAGGGGTTGCAAAGTTCTTCAGAGAAATTGTCATTATCTTCGTCAAAATGTTCTCCTAAAATAGAATCCCACTCGTAATTATCGTCCTCAGATTCACCAAATTTTTCCGTAAATGTCATTTTCGAAGTTCACTGACAACTACTGTCGTCTATGCCACTTCCTGTCTTTATGTCTCGCGACGCATCACGATAGTGGATTGTAATATGAATAGATCTCGCGTTATTTTATGAAATCTAATGAAAATCTTCAAACGTTTACTCGGTACGGTAAGAACTGATAATCTAAACAAACGTGGCACGCATTACTTCAAAAGAAAACGCCGCGTTGCGAGTCTGTTGTATTCTCTAAGACAGACCGGAAACGGAAACGAGACAAAAACAAAAGATTTTTCAAGTTAGCGTGGGGGAAATAACGTTGCTAAGTATTATCGTCAAGGAAAGCTATTGTTTAAGCTAGTCTGTGATTGGTTGCTGGCAGGGGCGTCGAACCATTCTGAAAAGTGAGGGGGACACTTTTGTGTCCGCGTAAACGGCCAATGTCCGCGCTTGCGCGAACAGGGGGGTGTCTGAGAAGGGGGGACTGCCCTATGTTACGACATCTCTATGTTCCGACACCACTATGTTCCGACACCCCTATGTTCCGACAAACAGTATAATTGTGTCAAACTTAATCTGACTAGCCGTGCGTGACCTTTTACTACCATGATATTATAACCAGGATGTCCTGTGGGTTAATACTGGAAATCCAACTGTAGTGTAGTCCGGCCATGATGCTCGAAAGTCCGTGAAAGCGGGATCTTGCATAATGTTATCGGATAATTATCAGAGAATTATCAAACAATGTTGCCCATTGTATCATTCTAATACTTCGACAATTATTTGACAATATCCGTGTCTGTTGGATGTGATTCCAACCTTGAATCCTCCGATTGCCTAACTATCGAAGT